GCAGGTAATATGGTGGTTAAGGGTGCTGGACTCCCACACGGCCAATCGCAGTTCAAGTCCTGGACCTGGCTATTTGCTTACTCTCTCTCTCTCTTTCTCTCTCTTCCTCTGTCCCTTTCTGATCAAATTAAAATAAATAAATAAAATTAAATAAAATAATTTTTAAAAAGCAGGGGTTGGGGGTGGTAGGTGGCATGGTGGTTTTAAAGCCACTAGATTCCCACATGGCTGACCATGGTTCAAGTCCTGGACCTGGTGGCTTGCTCTCTCACTTTCCCTTTCCCTGTCTCTGCCTCTGTCTGGTCAAACTAAATAATAATAATAACAAGTAGAATTAAATAAATAATTTAAAAAGCGGGGGGGGGAGCTAGCAGGTGACATTGTGGTTAAGGGTGCTGGACTCCCACATGACCTGCTTCTGTTCGAGTCCTGGACCTGGCAGCTTGCTTTTTTACTTTCTCTCTCTCACTCTCAATCTGACCTTCTCTGGTCAAATTAAAATAAATAATGTTAAATAAAATAATTCTTTGAGAAAAAAAAAAAAAGAAGTAAGATAGCCACGAAGACCAGCCCTTGAGAAAAAAAAAAAAGAAGTAAGATAGCCAGGAAGACCAGCCAGTGGCATAGTGGTTAAGGTGCTGGATTCCCTCATGGCTGACCATGGTTTGAGCCCCAAACCCGATGGCTTGAAAATCATGCTGGGTGTGTGTGTGCACCCAAAATCCTTGGAGGAGCGTGGAGAAGAGAGTCCAGGTAGCATCCCCCAAGGGGTGATTTCTCACTTTCCCTCTCTTTGTCTCCAGTGAGCCCACTCACCCTGTGGCAAAAACCTAACAAGGCGTGACAGGTAAAGTCCTGACATGTAAGTGTTAAGCAGATGTTATTTATGTGCCCCCTTCTATGCATACACTTGCACTGTCGTGTGTATGCTTTACTCACACTACTCGTTTTAGGGAGTGATACTGAACATATAATTTAAGCTCTGTGAGGCTGTTTTTTCATTCATCAATTCAGACAACATTTATAACAATTCAGGTTATTGGAACCAGCAGTGGTATAATGGTTACATCACTGGACTCCCACGTAGTTGACCGTGGTTCCAGTCCCAGACCTGGAGGCTTAAAACTCATGCTAGGTGTTTGTGTGAGCATGCCCAAAACCCTTAGAGGAGAATGGAGAGAAGGGATAACGGAGCAGCCATCTCGCCTGGGGAGGTGATTTCTCACTTTTTCTCTGTCTCTGTCTCTCAGTGAGCACACACACCCTATAGCAATACTCTCTCTAGTAACAACAACAACAAAAAAGCTGACAGTCTACTGGGGGAGATGACAAACCCAGTAATAACATTGCCATGTGATCAGTGCTGGGCATGTTCGCTGGAAGTGTGTACCATAGGGCAGAAGATGAGTGATGGCTTTCCTGAGGATGATGCTTGAGCTGTTTTGAAGGATCAGAAGTAGAGCCAGGGAGGAAGAACATGTCAGCCAAAAGGGGAAGCATGTAAAATATTTTAGACTAATTTAGAGCTGTGAATGTTCTTTGTTACCTTTAAATTACACCAGAGGGTGTGGCCAGGAGATGGTACAGTGGTTAAGGTGCTGGACTCACGCATGGCTGACCGCAGTTAGAGCCCAGGACCTGGTAGTTTGAAGATCACACTAGGTGCGTGTACATCCACAATCCCTAGGAGAATGGAGGAGAAGGGATTGTGGAGTGGCCATCCTCTCTTGGGGAGCATGGGTGATTTCTGTTCCCCTTTCTATGTCTCTCTCTGTTGAGTACATGTTCCCTATGGCAATAACCTAAAGAAAAAATAGACCAGAGGGTTGGCAGATTGTGACCCTTCAGCCAAATCTGGCCTGACTTATGTTTTAGTAAATACACTTTTTTTTGGGGGGGGGGTTGCTATAGGACACATGCACTCACCAACAAGCAAGGACACATGCACTCACCAGAAAGAGAGACAGAAAACGAGAAATCAGCCCCCCTGGGGAGGGGGGGGTTGGCCACGCCACAATCCCTTCTCCATTCTCTTCTCAGGATCTTGGGCATGCACGCATATGTGCTGGCATGAGTTTAAGCCACCAAGTCTGGGACTCCAACAGTGTTCGACTATGTGGGAGTCCAGTGACATAGCCATTATGCCAACTGCTGGTCCCGGTAAATACCCTTTTGTTGGAACACAGCCATGCCTCTCTACCTACTTGTCTTGACTTTTCTTGTGCTACAGTTAGCAATTGTGACAGAGACAGTCTAGCCTGAGAATCCTAAGATACTTACATTCTGATCCTTTATAGAGGAAACGTGCCAATCCCACGTTAGACAGTTGTAAAGCACTATTATGAGCAAGGTGAGGCGAGTCTCTTCATCCTCCTTGTGCTCCCACACAAGTGCTCATCCCCAGTCCCAGTTCTCCTCATGCCGCTCCTGCTGGGTGGCTGCTCTGTGCAACAGGTCCTCCGTATAACCCAGAGTTCCCAGCAAGGGCCTGGGTTTGGTACTTGTTGGATGGCAAGGCTGGTGGGAGAGGACAGTGGTTCGAGAGGTTGTGCTGTGGCTGTACGTGAGGAGTGGATCACTGTTCCTCACTTCTCAGTCTAGTCTGGTATGTGTTTGGCAAGGGAAGAGGTGAGTGTTAGTGTCCTCTCCTTGTATCTTGTTTGGTGGAGAGAAATTTCCAAGGAAGGAAAGGATGTTGGCAGGTGGGAGCAGAGAGGAGACACTGTGGCATGAGAAATAGCGTGGTGAGAGAGCCTCAGCAGTGTGATGACTTAATATTGCCTGCGTCCAAGTGTCACCCCGAGCTCCTCCTGCTGTAAAAAACAGACCTAATGATGTTCTTTGTGTCCTGTCAGCTACAGCGCCTAACTTTAGATTCTCAATATTTGATTTACTCTTGGATCGCAAACCCTTGTATTGCACACCACCATCTCTAAGACCTGGCTTGCAGCTCTTTTGCTTATTGGGCTCCTCTTCTCTGCCTTGAGCTCTCTCCTGACCGAAAACTGTGGACTCCCTAAATTCTACTTTGTTTTTCTGATTCTCTTGGGTTATGCCTGACAAATGCTACTTAGGATTCCTTAGCTGCGGTCTGAACCTCTTGGCTTTGGTCTTTTAGATTCCCTTTTGAATTCAAGTAATTCTCCATCTCTGACACATTGATTTCATCCTTATCTTTGCCCACAGTTCCCTGAGTTCTCCACCTCTATCTAGTCCGATCCTGTTGTTATCTGTGTCCTACAGGGAGCCCAAAGTACTTCACTAAAAATCATTATGCCTGTTCCTATTCTTAGCCTGTCCTATTGATTCATTTGAGCTGCATCAGTGCAGATATCTGCCGATAAATAGCCAGATAATGCTATTAACTTCGACAGTGGGAGCTTTGGAGGTCTTTGAATTCTTTGGTAATGATGATACTTTTTGTAAATCTGTGCTCTTTAATTTTCCTCTTTTTTTTTTTAAAAAGACTTATTTATTTAATTTTCTTTGTTACTATTATTGTTATTAAATTTTACCAGAAGAGAAAGGGAAAGTGAGAAAGCATACAACCAGGTCTAGGAGTTGAACTGTGATCGACTATGTGGGAGTCCAGTGTCTTAACCACCATACCACCTGCCAGCCCCTAATTTTTCTATTTTGGCAAGAGAATTTTTAAATTTTTAATGTGTTCCTTTAACTTTATTTTCTACCTCTTACTAGTCTTGTTTCTATTTTTAATTTAAAATTAGGCTTATATAGTTTAATACAGAATTGGTATATCCACATCTTCAGGTATAGGGACTCCAGATTTTCAAATAAATAGAACTAACTAGTAAAAAAAGAAAAAGTTAAGTAGATTGTAATGTAACATTTTAAAGCTGTAATATTAAAAAGAAAATGTTCATAAATTTCTTTTTTCCCTCTCTTTTCTGTTTTTTTGCTTGGGCACATGTACTCACCCATGAGAGATGGGGCAGGGAGTAGGGGAGCACCCCACTATGTGGCATGGTCACAAAGCAATTCCTTCCCTTCCCCTCCATTTCTCCATCCTGCTGGAATTTTGGACATGCATGCATGCACATGCACCTGCTGTGTTTTTCAAGCTGTTTGGGCCAAGATTTAAACTCTAGTTGGACATGTGAGATTTGGCTCCCTAAACTACCAGGCTATGGGGCTGGCCTCATATTTTTTGTATTACTGTTTAGTTTTAATATTATAATAGTTTTGTTTGTAGCAGACATTTTAAAGATGATACTTTGATCATTTATGGCAATGAGGTCTTTAATTTGATACCAGCTACTCTTTATAAAGATTAAAATTAATGTTATTTTAAAAATATTTCAAAAGCTTTCTTATTTTAAGAAGTTTTCCCCTTGGGGTGCATGCACTCACTGGTTAGAGAGCAAGTGCGAGATAGTGAGAGGGAAAATGGGAAAGCATCCCCCAGAGGGATGGATACACTGCAGTCCCTTCTCCTCCATACTCCTCCTGGGATCTTGGGCATGAGTGCACATGCACCTGGGTCCAGGACTTGAACTGTAATTGACTGTGTGGGAATCCAGCACCATAACCACTATGCCATCTGCTGTCTCTGCTGTCATGTTTTTACAAAGTCTAGCTTTGACTCTGACAAATTGAAGTGAGCTATACAGCTAATTTAAACAGGAATCATGATTATTCTTGGGTTTCAAGTTTTTCCCTTTTTGTTTTTGTAGAGAGATTTTTGCTATAGGGTCCATGCACTCACTAGAGAGACAGTGAGAGACAGACAGAGCTAGAAATCACTTCCAGAGGGGATGGCCACACCACAGTTTCTTCTCCTTTATTCTCCTCTTGGGATTTTGGGCACACATGCACAGTGTGTTTTAAGCTGCCGGGTCTGGGACTCAAGCCACAGTCAGCTACATGAGAGTCCAGCGCCTTAACCACTGTGCAACCTACTGGTCCTTTGGGTTTCAGGATCTTAGGAGATAAACATGTCATCACTTATCAGAGCATATCTATTTTCTGCTAAATTGTAGAGTTACAGCCGAAGTCAAGCACAACATCACCAACACTGTGGTATGCAGAGTACAGGGAGAGTGGAACAGTGTTCTTGAGTTCACTTACAGCAATGGAGAGACGAAGTGTGTGGATTTGACGAAATTGTCAGTGACAAAGAAAAGAGTGAGACCTCTGGAGAAGCAGGATCCATTTGAATCCAGGTGTGTTTTCCTTGCATCCATCCGGGAAAGAATCAGAAGCTCTGGAACTAATGTAAGCCTTTTTACTGCCTGACATTGAGCAGGTCACTGTACCAGTTGATAACAGCTTCCTCCTCTATGGAAGTGAATGAGTTGGTCTGATCTGATGTTATTAAATCCCTTATCGGCAATGACATCATAAGGTCTACAGTCATATTTTAATACAAATCAAATACTTGTAAACTGAACAGAATTATTAACCACGTTTAACAGTCATAGGATTATTATCCTTGCCATAAAACTTCTTACAAATTATTAACAAGCAGGGAACTCCAAGAGAAAAATATGACCAAAAGACCATATGTAGTTCACCAAAATAAAAAAATGTTGAATGCCCACTAAGAAAATGAAAACTTATTCAGTGTAGTTAAAATGCAAAGAGATGCAAATTAAACAGTAAGACAAATTATTAGAATTATTTAATTTTATTTATTTTAATTTTTAATTTGTTATAGGGCATGCATGCTCACGAGAGAGAGAGACAGACACCAGGTCCAGGATTTGAACCATGGTCAGCCATGTGGGAGTGTCCAGCACCTTAACCACCACGCCACCTGCCAGTCCCATAATTATTTAATTTTATTTATTTTAATTTTTAATTTGTTATAGGGCATGCATGCTCACGAGAGAGAGAGACAGACACCAGGTCCAGGATTCAAACCATGATCAGACATGTGGGAGTCCAGTGCCTTAACCACCATATCACCTGTTGCCCTCCCTCTTTTTTAAAAGATTTTTTTATTGGGACCAGCAGTTGGCATAATGGCTATGTTGCTGGACTCCCATGTAGTCTACTGTGGTTCGAGTCCTGGACTCAGTGGCTTAAACTCATGCCAGGTATGTGTGTGTGCGTGCCCAAGATCCCGAGAGGAGAATGGAGGAGAAGGGATTGCAGCATGGACATCCCCCCTGAGGATTGATTTCTCACTTTCTGTCTCTGTCTTCCTGGTGAGCGCAAATGCCCTATAGCAAAAACCTCTCCAAAAAAAAAAGATTTTTTTTATCTACCATAGGGCATGTGTGTTTGCCAGAGAGAGAAAACAGTGAGAGGAAAGTGAGAAATCAACCCCCACACTGCAATCCCTTCTCCTCCATTATCCTCCTGGGATTTTGGGTACCCACACATACATGCCTGGCATGATTTTCAAGCTGCCAGGTCTGGGACTTGAACTGTGATTGGTCATATGGGAGTCTGGCGCCTTAACCACTCACCACCTACTGGCCCCAGTGATTATGATTTTAAAATATTATGTAATGAAATACGTCAGCATCTGGAAAATCTGCATAACTTAGTGAACTTGTATTTTTCAAATAACCAGTGCATGATGTTACAGAATCATACATAAATGGATAAATGATCCATTCAAGGTGCAGGTTAGATCAATGAATTTCCATCTAACATCATATAAAAATTGATAATTTTTAGTTTCTTACATTGCAAACTGCCTCTTGTTGAGTTTTGGTACAATAACAAAAAATTGAATTTTTCTGGGGAAAAAAAAATCTGCTATTGCCTTTCCTAACTATGTCTGTGTGAGACCAGATTTTCTTTATATACTTTAAACCAATATATTAGGTTGTCAGGAAAGATACGAGTATTTTCCGTGCAAAAATGTGTCATGATTTTCCTGACAACCCAAAGTTACAACACGAATATAAAAGCAGATATAGGAGCCCAAATATTTTTATTATCATCATTATTATTATTTTTTGGAGAAGTTTTTTGTTGTTGTTGTTATATGGTGCATACATTCGCCAGAGAGACAGAGACAGAAAGCGAGGGCCAGCGATTGGCATAATGGCTAAGTCGCTGGACTCCCATGTAGTTAGCCGTGGTTCGAGTCCCAGACCTGGTGGCTTAAACTCACGCCAGGCGCGTGTGCGTGCGTGCCCAAGATCCCGAGAGAAGAATGAGGAGAAGGGATTGTGGCATGGCCATCCCCACTGGGAGGTGATTTCTCGCTTTCTGTCTGTCTGTCTCTGTCTTTCTGGCGAGTGCACATGCCCTATAGCAAAAACCTCTCCAAAAAGAAAAAGAAAGCTAGAAATCGCAACCCACAGGGGATGGCCATGCCACAATCCCTTCTCCTCATTCTTCTCTCGGGATCTTGGGCACGCACGCACACGCGCCTGGCGTGAGTTTAAGCCACCAGGTCCAGGACTCGAACCACCGTCGACTACATGGGAGAATAGTATATAGGCTATTGGGCAAACTCTCCTTCTAAAATTTTTATGGTGTTAGTCCTTACATTTAGACTGTGATCTATTTTGAGTTTATTTCTGTGTATGACGTGAGGTGAGGGTCTGAGTTCATCTTTTTCCATATGTATGTCTAATTATTTCAGCATTATTAGTTGAACAGACTGTTTCTTTAGTCAAGAATTGTCCTGACAGTTTTCTTTTGCTAGAGTTTTGCTGAGCTTCCTCTCCCCTGAAGTGAGCGAGAGCACTTGGAGGACTCCGCTCATCCGTTTCCTACCCTCATGGCTTACCGCTCAATGGGGCGTGGTTACACCAGTCATCTGTAGTCCTTTTTTCTCTGTTTTTCCATCCCTTCAGGATTTTCAGTACATACACCTGGTGTGTATTGCAGGCTGCCAGGGCCTGGGCTTACTACCATGATTGGTCTTGTGGGATCTCACTTTTTTTTTTTTTTAAGGTTTTTGCCATAGGGCATTTATGCTCACTGGAGAGAGACAGTGAGAGGGCCTCAAGGGAATGGCCACACCCTTCTCCTCCTTCATTCTGGGCATGCATGCACATGTGTCCAGCATGATTTTCAAGCTGCCAAGTCTGGGACTTGAACCACATTTGGCCATGTGGGAGTCCAGCACCTTAACCACCACACCACCTGCTGGCCCTAGGATCTCAGTTGCTATCATATCCCTTAAGTGTGTGCTACAGGGCCAGCCTACTTGTTTTTCATTTAAAAGAAGCAGCAGCAGCATGCTGGAAAGCAGCAGCATGGCATAATAATCAGCATTCATGTAACTCATGGGCATGGCTTTATGTATCTCATTTGGGAAATCTACTTCTTAGAAAGTGTTTTAATTTTGAGGATATCAGTTGTTTTTAATTTTCTTTGTAAGAATGTTTATAAAATATGTAGTTTTTCGATCCCAGGCGATTATGGAAAAATGTGACCGACGCTCTGAGGGAATCTGAAATTGATAAAGCCACAGAGCATAAACGCTCCCTGGAAGAACGCCAGAGAACTGAGGAAAGGCATCGAACGGAGACAGGCACACCCTGGAAAACACAGTATTTTATCAAAGAGGTATGTCAGCCATGCATTCAGGCTGAAAGTCATTTTCTTCTATTGAGAACTTTGGCTTCCTAGACTTTGTTGTATCTTGAGCATTTTTATTTTTAAATGTGGTCTATTTAACCGTGCGCTTTCTCGTGAGCTTTTCATAATTTGTCAAAGTAAATAGTTTACCAGCAATTTAGATAGAATTTATATGAGAGAGGGGCGGAGGTTTATTGACAGGGTCTCACTGTGTCACAGTCTTCCTGTCCCCACTTGCCAGTGTGCAGGACTCTGGGGGCATACCACTGTTTCCAACCTCTTGGGCTGCTCAGGCAGCCAACCCAGGCTTCCAGTATGAGCTCAGCTTCGGAGCAGCAGCATCTTAGCCACGTGTGCCACTTCAGTGGAGCTAGATACAGGATATTTGGGATATAATTTAGCCAAACAAAATTTTTAGTCACAATCATAGGATATGTCATTTATAATTTGTTGTCTTTTAAATCATACCTGCAATTATCTTTTTACTTCTGGAGACCATGTATTATGGGAAACAGGAGAAACTTAATTGGATACACACAGGATGATGAAGTGGCTAGATGTGAGGGTGTGTAGCATGAAAAACAGAAAACTCGGATCATGTATTATAAACTTTTTCACATATGTAAGCTCATCACATAGAACATTTTTATAGTTGAGCATCCCTACTCAAAAATATAAAATGTTCCAGGTAACCAGCAGTTAGCGTAATGGCTATGTCGCTGGACTCCCACGTAGTCGACCGCGGTTCGTGTCCCGGACCCGGTGGCTTAAAACTCACGCCGGGCGCGTGTGCGTGCGTGCCCAAGATCCTGAGAGGAGAATGGAGGAGAAGGGATTGAGGTGTGACCATCCCCCCTGGGGGGTGATTTCTCGCTTTCTGTCTCTATGTCTCTCTCTGTCTGTCTGGCGAACGCAGGCGCCCTACAGTGAAAATCTTTCAAAAAATAAAAATAAATAAAATAAAATAAAATGTTCCAACATCTGAAGCCTTTCAGGTGCTGACACGACATAAGTGGGAATGCCTCGCTTGCTCTGTCACTCCCTGACTCAGTCAGAATACTGAAACACAAGATTACTGTATCAAACAACGCTCAGACTATGTTTAAGGTGTATCTGAAACATAAATGAATTTTATGTTTAGACTTGGGTCTCCTCCACAAGATATCTCATTATGTATATGCAGATATTCTGAAATCAAAACAAAACAAAACAAAAACATCCAAAATACTTCTAGCCCAAAGCATTTCAGATAAGGGGTACTCAACCCGTATGAGTTAACATGGCTATCTAGAACTACGTTCACATTGCCAGGAAGCAAATTTGGGAATTAATAAAGAAGAAATGATATAATCATCAAAAACATCTAATACATTTATCTTATAGTATTCTTTTTTTCTTTTTAGAGGGAGATTTTTGCTATACAGTATGTGAACTTGGAGAGACAGAGAGAAAAAGTGAGAAACCACACCCAAGGGGGGATAGCCATGCTGCAGTCCCTTCTTCTCCATTCTCCTCTTGGGATTCTGGGCACACATGCACATGCACCTGGCATAAGTTTTAAGCTGCTGGGTCCAGGACTCGAACCACCATCAACCACGTGGAAGTTCAGTACCTCAACCACTGTACCATCTGCTGGCCCTAGTAAAGAATTCTCTGTCACAAGACCTGTATAAGAGACCAGGCTTATGTAGAAGAATTTGATATGGGGCCAGCAGATATCATGGGGGTTGGAGTGCTAGTCTTCCACATGGTCAATTGTGGCTTGAGTCCCAGACCTGGTAGCTTGAAATTCACACTGGAGACGTGTGTGTGCTTGCTTGAAATCCCAGGAGGAGAATAGAGAAGAGATTGTGTCATGGCCATACCACTGAGAGGTAATTTCTCACTTTCTCTCTCAATATTTTTGTCTATTATTTCTGGTGTGAACTGAGAGTAATAAAAATAATCAACTAAAGCTTATATCAAGAAAATTTTTGTCTATAGCAAAGTCTAAAGAAAAACCCATTTTGGCTGGGTTACACTGGGCCAACTACAAGGTTCGAATCCTGGATCCTGAAGCTTGAGAAATATGCCAGGCATGTGTGCCCGAAATCTCTAGTGGAGAATGGAGGAGAAGGGATTACAGCATGGCTAATCCCCATGGGTGATTTCTAACTTTTCTTCTCTATCTCTTCTCTCTCTGGCAAGTACATGTGCTCTGTAGCCAAGTCAAAAAAAAAAAAAAAGACAGGCCAACAGGTGGCGTAGTGATTAAAGGCTCTGGCCTCCCAGCATGGCCAGCCTTAGTCCCAGACCTGGTGGCTTCCTTTCTCACTTTCCCTCTCTTTTTCTGTCTCTTCTGGTCAAATTAGAAAATAATAATAATGAATAAAGTTAAAATTAAAAAAAGAAAAACTCATTAAATTTTAATATTGGTCTATCGGTAAGGAATCTGGAAAAAAATAATCTGATGATTTTTGCATAGTTATTACCTTTGAAAATTCATAGTTTATTACTGTAGTTCTACTACTTGTATTTTTTTGTTTGTTTTAATTTTTAAAATTATTATTATTATTATTTTCTTCCATTTGACCAGAGAGAGAAAAAGGGAAAGTGAGAAAGCAAGCTGCTAGGTATAGCACTCAAACCATGGTCGGCCATGTGGGAGTCCAGCCACCTGCCAGCCCCTACTTGCATTATTTTTTAATCTTTGGGTTAAATGCCTACTGTTTTAAGGGAAAGTATTTTGCATCTCTATAATTTTATATGAAGAATATATGTGTGTAGTTATTATTGAAAATTATATTTGAATAACCTTGGATTTTTTTTTTCCCATTTCAAGCTCATTAAGAGAATGATATATGGGGCCAGCAGCTGGCATGGAGGGTAAAGTGCTAGATCCATATGGCCAGCTATGCAGTTCAAGTCCTGGACATGGCAACTTGAAAATCACACTGGACGCATGTGCGTACATGCCCAAAATCCCAAGAGGAGAATGGAGAAGAAAGGATTGTGGTGTGGTCATTCCCCCTGGGGGGGTGCTTTCTCACTTTCCCTCTTTCTTTCTGTCTCTTTCTGACAGATGCATATGTCCTATAGCAAAAAATTTTAAAAATAGAGAGAAAGAAATGTATACACTAAGAGTAGAATCTAGAGATGGAAGTGTCCTGAGTTAGGACCTCTATAGACTGTTACAGAGGAGCCCTATGGGCTAAGAACAGGGAGCTTTATTTGTTAAAGGATTCAATTGATAGAATTTTTAAAGGATAGGCACCATGATTCTTGCTATTGACATAATATGCTACTTTTCCTTTTTCTTTTTCTTTTTTTTTTTCAATTTGTTATAAGGCATGTGTGCTAGCAAGTGACAGAGAGAAAATGAGAACGCACCGCTCTAGTGGGGATGGCACTGCCAGTCCCCTCTCTTCTGTTTTCCTCTCAGGATTTTCGCATGCAAACAAAGGCGTCCAGTGTGTTTTTCAAGCCACTGGTTCTGGGACTTGAACTGTGTAGTTAGCCATGTGGGATTCAGCTGCCTTAAATAACTATCACACCACTGACAGGCCCTCATTTATTCTTTATAGGATAGACATTGAGAACCTATCTCTTAATCTCTTTATCACAGTCATGTTACACAAATATTGAAAATATGGGATAAGATATAATGAGTGTCCAATCGAATAGTGAATTTCTTTCAGCCTAGATGGTCTAAGATAACTGTCTGGGGGAATAGTAGGTAGGAAGTAACAAAACTCAAATTCAGGCCTCGTTTTTTTTTTTTTTTTTTTTTTTTGGTGGGGGGGGGAGAGGTTTTTACTATAGGGTGCGTGCACTCTCCAGAAAGACAGAGACAGAGAGACAGAAAGCAAGAAATCACCTCCCAGGAGGGATGGCCACGCCACAATCCCGTCTCCATTCTCCTCTCAGGATCTTGGGCATGAACGCACATATGCCCAGCGTGAGTTTAAAGCACTGGGTCCGAGACTTGAACCATGGTCGACTGTATGAGAGTCAGCGACATAGCCATTACACCATCTGCTGATCCCGGGATTTCTTAAATAGTGTGCCCTGGCATGGTGGTACGGCATAGTGTGCCCGCTTTTCTGACTCCTAAGGACTGCTCTTGTGCATGACAGGTATTCCACAGACTGCAGGGTGGACGGTATGGTTTTAGGCTAATTCGCTTGCCCACTGCTCACTGCCTTCTGTGTGCTACTACTCCATGGCCTGGGGGTTGGGGTCCCCTGGTATAGCAGCTGGGTTAGAGTTGTGTCATATTAACTCCCTGCTCCTGTGGGGCTGACATGTCCACTCCTGGGTGTGGCTGGACTCCAGTGTATGCTGTCACGCAGGCGACATGCTGCAGAGTCCAAGTGAGGCCATGAGGACGGCAGTCAGTCCATGATAAATTCGGAGCTGCCACACGTGGCCCACTGCTAAGAAATCACCAGTTTTTGAAAAATTGACCTTTGTGTCTCCTGTGGTCCTAAACAGAATGCTGGGCTCAACATCCCATCATAGAGAAATGGAAGAAAACGGACGGTGTCATGATCACACTCCTTTTTAGGGTGCGCTCTCTCTCTGTCTCTTTCTAGTGAGCACACACAATCCTGTAGCAAATAAAATAAAGGGGGAGTCCTTGTTGCTATGAGTCAAATAATTGCTAGATTTAGGTCATTTTTAGAACAAGGTAGTAGGCTGGCTATGGAGCACAGTGGTTAAGCACTGTGTATAGGGAGCCAGATCACATATGGCCGACCGTGGTTCACATCCCTGATGGCCTGAAAAAGACATGCCAGGAGTGCGTGTACATGCCCAAGGTCCTTGGGATGAATAATGGAGAAACAAGGATGCAGAGTGCACCCTATTGGGAGGTACCTTCTCCCTTTCTCTGATGTGCACGCACTGCTCTCTGACAATAAAAGAAAAAGAATAAATATATAAAAATATGGATTTATTTCATTCATAAAAGAGACCCACACACATCTTCTTAGCAGCGTCCCCACACCACAGTCTAGTGGCGTGGTGGTTGAGGCGCTTAACTCCCACATGGCAACCGCAGTTTAAGTCTCAGACCTGGTGGTTCTCGCTTGCTCTATGAGCATGTGTGCCCCATGACAAATTTAAAAATAATGTAAATGAAATAATTTTTAATAGAAATCTGACTTTCTTTGCCTTGTCCCATGAACACTGAACTCCAGCCTTCACTCCCCTGATCCTTGCCCTGGTATGCTGCTGCAGCTCTTTTTTCTCATTTCGCTCTCCTATCTTCAGCTCACTCTCTGACTCCAACTTTACCTCTTTGCTGGATCCTGTTCACAGAAGCGAGGGGAAACTAATGGCTGAAAAGTCAGGAAAGAACCAAGAAAAACAGCACCTAGGCCCTAGAAATGCCCGCCAAGATGAGGAGGCCAGCCAGTGCTTTCACGACCCTTCCCTGTGCTCCTCCTGCTGCCGGTTGCTCTGTGCGTGAGGTCCTATCTGTAGCATCCTGGCGGCATTGGCAGAATTGCTAGAGATGACTTCTTTTTTTTTTTTTTTTTAAGAATTACTTATTTATTATTACTATTTTTCATTTGCTACAGGGCATGCGCACTCACCAAAGAGAGAGAGAGAGAGAGAAAGTGAGAAAGCAAGGCACCAGGTCTGGGACTCCAGCCATGGTCAACCACATGGTAGTCCAGCACCATAACCACTACCGTACCTGCTGACCCCCAGATGACTTTTTTCAATTAAATTGTTCCTGGATCACAAACCAGATCTTCCTGTTCCAGACCTCCTCACCCAATCCTAGCTAAACCACAGGCCTCATTTTAACTTTTTTTTTTTTTTTTGAGAGATTTTCATTGTAGGGCGCGT